TTCATTGTATAGTTTTGAAATGAGTTAGTATCATCCCAATAATTGTTCGGAGTACTGATCTCATTTTTTTTATTGTTGTCACCATAAACTGGTCTCTAATCCGTACGTCGGCTTTCCTCAGGTACACAATCTAAAAAAAGGTGGAGGGTAGTTCTTTTTTCAAGTAGTATCTGCAAATCTTGTCTTGATTCAATTATTGTATTATTGTCAATTTTTTCTTCTATCTTTACAGTTTTGAACACTAAAAATATAATTCGAGGACAAAACATGACAGAAAAAACCTCCCCTATCCAAACAGACCGTGCGCCAGAGGAAGGTCGTATATCCCCCGAACAAATTCTGTAGCAACAAAAAAGAATCATGTGTTCTTGGAACCAAATATATCAGCTGTTTCTTCCTTTAGCCTAGGAAAATTGACTATGATGCTAGCTAATCGCATATTGCTGAAAACTTAAGAGATGGTGTTTATTTGAAACACATTGTTATAATATCAGTGAAGTGAAGTTTCCACGTTTACTCCTCGGTAATCATTATGAGCTATGTATATTTTTTACAGTTATTTCCTAAATAGAGAAAGACTACAATAGTGTCAAGACTCGTGAGCATTGGATTCACAAAGCTCATGAAATGATCTACAAGAAGATCATTTTAACCATCGTATCATGATAGTTTGTCTTATTAGCACCACAAAAGACAAGTGTAGGAAACTCGGTGATGGTTGCATTGACTTCAGTAATAATCGTCTTCTAGGCTAGCTTGCTATCTATTGTTCTACAAGACGCTCCGTATATACATTTTTATATTTTTGTTGAGGATAGGCAAGTTGCACTGTATGACATTTCCCGTTGAAATAAATACTCTGGCTGATTGCATCTGTTTCAGGCTGATCGATCTTGTAGAAGTTATCGATATTGAGCGAGCTCCAAACATAGTGGACCTTATCAGTGTGTTCATCAACGCGAAAGAAATTCTGGAAACAGTTAACGCAAAAGTAAGGCCATTTTCTTTCTTCGTCTTCATCGTTTGTCTTCGGAATCTTTTCTAGTTAAATAGAAGCGGTCGAATTTTGTTTTTAATGAATTCTTTTTTTCTTTTTCTTGAAATGCCTGGTGAATAAAAAAAAACAACCTTTTAAGCGAAAATATATACAATGTTTTCATTTCTATAATATGAGTTCGGTGCGATATTTTTTCTTTTCTAGAAAATAGGAAATAAAGAACTCGGTTCATTAAACTATAACGATAAACTTTTTGTCACTTGCTACTCCATAAATTCACTGATTATTTTGGTTGAAGATGAAGAACTTCTCGCGGTTTGACACTTATTTTTAAATAATTTAATCACAACAAAACCGATAAAGCTCCTAAGATTCAAGGGGTTACTGAGACTAAGCGAAATCTGGAAAATATTATTGAGGAGAAAGGACAAAAAAAAAACAGGATTCAAGGAGACAGAAAATGATTTTTTTTTTACATCATTTCACCCCAAGCAAGGCGATAATGCCACTAATACGGAAAAAGTTATTGGAACTAAGAGAGAATGATAATATATTAGTGAGGAAAAAGGATAATAAAAAAAACAGGATTCAATGAGACAGAAGATGTTTTTTTTTGTTTTTTTTTAAAAATCATTTCACCTTAAACAAGATGCAAATTGGTTATTGGGAGTGAGAGATAATGAGAAAACTTTAATGAAAAGAAAAGATAATAAAAGTACAAGAATCAGAAAGACAGAATATATGATGTTGAATTTAAGAAGATTTTACGTGACTGGGAAGGAAGGAAATCAGAAAGGAGATTTACAGAACATACTGTTGCATCTTCTTAACTAGTTCTAAAGTAAAAGACCGAGGTTACATTTACATTCTTGAAGATTGTAGTTGGCGGGAAAGCAAGAATCTGAAAAGAGAGTTCTACAGGCGAGAAGTGCGAGAGAAAAATATTAGAATAGAACTGAGGGTTAAGCTTATCAATATCAACAGTAAATGATAAGACCTAGTATCGCACTTAAATTCACGAAATCGAAATTGATACATAAAACATTGCAAACATCTTGAACAGGAGTGGTGAACAGAAACGGATCTATCATGCTTCAGGATATCGAAAAATACTTAAAAGAGCACCTGACCAAAGGTTAGACAGACTGTGAAATTCTACCCAACCCTCCTTATTCAATAGACCTGTACTCTACCGATAAACATCCTTTTTTCGGGCATAAGTTGTATATACGCTCCAGTAATTATGCACTGGTTTGGTTTGGTTTGTTTTGTTTTACGGCATATCAACCTCAATGAGTTTTAATGCTGACAAAATTTTTATTTCTGCTAATATTTTTTTTGTCAAAAATCTGTTTCTGGTGATATTTTTCCTTCAAAAATATATCGTTGTTAATAATTTTTTTCAAAAAGTATTGCTGTTAATAATTTTTTTCAAAAAAGTATTGCTGTTAATAATTTTTCTCAAAAAAGTATTGCTGGTAATATTTTTTTTCAAAAAAGTATTGCTGGTAATATTTTTTTCCTCAAAAATGTATTGCTAATAATATTTTTTCCTCAAAAATGTATTGCTAGTAATATTTTTTTTCAAAAACATATTGTTGGTAATATCTTTTTTTCAAAAATGTATTGCTGGTAATAGTTTTTTTCTTCAAAAATTTATTGCTGGTAATAATTTTTTACAAACTATTTCTGATATTAAAACCTATTTTTACACTTTCATAGTGTTTTGACCCCAGTTTCGAGGTCAATTATTTGCCCATAGCTTGCTGCTGGACGTAGTTTATCGTCTTACCCAGGACTCGCGTATAGTTTATCGTCATAATCAGGACGGAAAATATGTACTGAAAAGAATGAAGATGATAACGTTTGTTCACAGGTTTCCGTCTTCCGTAATCCTAGTTGTTATTGTAATGGAAATATATTCTTTGCAGGGACGTTAGAAAAATCCTCTCCATTCTAATGACGCTTACGTTTATTCACAAAGTTATGTTTGAGACGAAGGCGCTACTGATTTTCTGCTCGTAAAAAATAGGGAAACTCTTTGTGAAATCATTTTTGCCGATTAACATTCATTTTAAGCAAGACAGGTTTTTTCATAATCAAAAATATTGATTCTTGATATAATTTTAGAAACTGGTATCTTATCAATACTATAAATATTTATTTCTTTAAACTGAGTGGTGAAATAGATTTGTTTTTATTCACTTAAGACCTTTTACAAAGATTTATCTTAAATAAATATCGACATATAAATTTTTATGTGATTTATTTTAAAAGTTTTTAAACAAGCAATTTTTTGGTTAACAAAAATAAAATTAAGAAAATAATGAAAATACAGGATTAAGAAATATCAACCATAAAAAAAATTAGAACAAAAAAAAATCCTGAATTGAGAAAAAGACAACATCAGCAAAGTGTATTTATCAATGACATAGGCATCGTTTCAAACGTAAAATCTGTAAATAAAAACAAAGTGCTATCAATTTGGCACGGTATTTGTATTATGAATAGGACCCCCTTCTAAAATGATAAAAATCAATACGTTTCTATTCTGATAAATATCGTGCTTAGAGAAAGTTCTAATGGATGCTAACCTATAAAAATTTATTCCCCAATAATTTATTCCCTATTTTTTACGAGGAGATCAGGTAACCATAGTAGGCCGAGACGAATTTTAAATTTTGTTCCACCATGTATTTATTATGCCAATTATTACCCTATCCTAATTTTTGATAGTATTAATGATACTATTTGTATCATTATTATAGTCAAGCTATATATCAGATTTGTATAATATTCATTGTGTAAAAATTTCAGATAGAGTATATCTGTAAAAGGATAATGTGAATAAATACAAAAAGAAAGCTTATCTTAGCCAACGCGTTTCGTCCTTATTTGCCTTGTGAGAGTCGCTCAGAGGACGAAACGCGTTGATTAAGATAAGTTTTCCTTATGTCTTTGTCTTTATTCACATAATATCCATTATAACTATTCATAATCACTAAGACAAAAATAAGATAATAATTATTTTTATATTACGAAAGTTGATTAAAAGTATCAGGCTTGTTGCTATAAAAAGAAAACTACAACATATATCAATTCGGCATTTAATTTTCTTCAAAGTAGTCCCCCTTCTGAAACCACTAACTTTATCCAGTGACGTTTCCCTTGATAGAAGCTTTCCTGAAATTCCTTTATTGGGATAGCGAGCAACTGCCTCATCGCATTCTGACTGCTTTAACGGCTTGAAATCTTGTTACTTTCAAGTTAGATTTGATTTTTGAAGGAGGAAAAGTTGCCAGGAGCGAAATCTGGAGAATAGGGTTGTTGCCGAACCTGTGCAATGTTATTCTAGGCCAAAGATGTTGCACACGCCATGGTCAGTGTGTACAGATAGAACGCTGTGGCGTGGTGAGACGACCACACTCTACACACTACACACTACACACTTTCCTTCCAAGCACTGCTATAAAAATTGGAAGTATGTGAGAACATTATAACTTAGTGTGTATACGTAACAGAGGGCAAGGTGTTTCAGTACCAAACTGCTTCACTCAGCACACTTTAGCTCCGTTACCATAGAAACAGTTCTGATACGTTTTAATCATACCACGTATTTACAATGTTGACAAATATCTCAACGTAACTTCATTTTAATTCGGTTGTTATTTCCATATGTATTTATTTCTTGTTTTAATGCTGTCATCCCTTTGGCCAACTTCGATATAAATTTTGTCTAGTCCAATGCTTGTTAAGATTTCTGAAACGCTTTGAAAGAAAATGATCACATCCATGATAAATGGCTAAAGAATAACTAAGTAATGATCAACAATGACATGATGTCGGACACGTTAACTTTCATTTAATTCTTTTTTTTTTTAACTGTTCGTTTATACAGGGTCAAAAATATAAAGGTCACCGTGGAAAGATTTTTGCTGCCATCACAATTCAGACAAACTGGCGTCGAATACGAGAAAGGCGGAAATTCTTGGAGTACCGTAAAATGAAGTGGGCGTCGGGAGTGTTTGCCATCGCATGGATGATGCGAATGAGAGCCATCAAAAACCGGGAGCGGCTTCGTGAGACAAGAGCTGATAATCTAGAAGTTTATAAAAGTAAAATCAAGGTATTTTATTGCTATATTTGCGGATACAGCTTACCTACACTGTGTAAAATAGTTTTGCTACTGAAGTAAAAGTGTAAGTTTCAGATCAAATCAATTATTGAAGCCTTTAATGCAATGCTCATTCAGGACATATGCGATCATAATTCCATTGATTTTTTTATTATCTGTGAATTGCGACGGATTCTTATGGAGTTGATTTTTTTTAGTGTAGATCTTCTCTTATACTGTCTGCCATCCAAAGCTAGAGATTCTAGATGATCAAGAATAATAAAAAAAATCAGGCTTAATTATAAGTTTTTGTCTAAGAGATCTCAGAATATGTAGCCTGGAATATATAAGGACAGAAAATTATATTGAAAAAAAAAAAAAAAAAAAAAAACTCCGGGTTTACGGCAACATCACGTTGAAACACCGGTTTCCGTGCAATCAACGAAGTTAAGTTACGTCGAGCCTAGTCAGTACCTAGATGGGTGAACGCTTCGGAATACCAGATACTGCAAGGTTGGATGTGCGGTTGGTGTAATGGATAATGACATGAATTTGTAATCGGAGAGCCAAGTTCCAATTCTCGTTGGGTTCGTTATAGTCACTTACTCGAGAACGACTTTGGGAAAGTTATGACTCAACCTCTTCTTATCTCCCTAACTATGAGTAAATTAGTAAGACTTGTATCATTAAACCATTATTATCTTCAAAAACATTCTCATAATCGAAAAATACCTTCGGGCTTTATCTACCGGCAAAGGGTTGATAAGCCTTAGAAAAAGAATTAATCAATCAGTTTTAAACTCCTTCACGACTCTCATCATTTCAATCCAGGAGCAAAATAAAAGCATATAAAATCCATAAAACTAAATATTTAAGTACTAGAAACATCAGAAATATTAATTCTACCAATCAAATCTTTATCGACTGAACTCGGAAATATTTAACTATTCTTAACCCTAAAATTACAAGCACTATGTTTCAAGACAGAGATTTGATCAGCAAAAAACATGAAATTACGTAATGCATCAAAATCTCGCATGAATAAGACAATCTGCTAGCAATGTCATAATAAACGTATAGTCAAGAAATCTAGCACTCTAAAAATCCGCATTTATGAACACAGATGAGACTTGACTTAGAATAACCAATTAAATTCCTTAGAATCAGAAAGAAAGACAACAGGCCATGAATTTGATTCAAAAACTGTGATCTCAAAGAAAAATGAACAAAACCTTTTATGGTGAAAATACCCAGAAATAATATTAATAAATAACTAGTATACAATAAATACTAATCATATTAACTTTTTACGTATCACCAATATTCGTAAAGTCTATATTTAAAGAATGTAAGATCTAAGCATTGGCAGATGAAGTAATCTTGTATAGCACATTCTCTTCCAAAATTCGCTATATTTATCATGTAATTAAAATGCTCTATGATACCCACCTTTTTCATAATCACTTACATTGCATTGACATTTCCATAAGTAAACGCACACATAGAAACGCCTTGCAGAAAACATCAATTTCACTCATTTTTGCTTCAAAATTTAAATAATTGTTTGTTCGTTGAAAAAAAACCCCAAAAAAACGCGGTGAGCCAATCTTTTTTTTTTCTTGAACTTGCTAAGTCCTAAATCAAATGAGTGTCTTGGCAAAGATCATCCTTAAACAACAATCAACTAACCAGCCGGAGATCAGTTAAATCTAGTTTGCGCCGCATATATATATATATATATATATATATATATATATATATATATATATATATATAAAACGACTAAACTTTGCAATTAAAAAAAAAACAAACAGAATTTAAAAATCGAAACAATTTCCCATTATTCCACTTCCAAAATTTCTGATGAAGCTAAATAAACAGCGAAACATTTTTTTAGTTTATAAACGTTTTCCTATTTATTCCTTATTTATATATTTTGTCGGATTTAACCCAGAAGGTGAAAAAAACGACTCCGTGGAAGAACAGAGAATATAATACTAACGGAAATATATTTAAAAAATAACATGTCAAAAGATTCAAATAATACTAATTAGCCGTTTACTTATAAGGACATATTCGACATCCATTGACCGAGCAGCCTGTGCTACTCTCAGGTGAAATTCATAAAAAATGATAAAATCTAAATTTTCTGAAATTCACTGTTTTTGTTTTTTCCAATAATGATGAGAGTTTCCTTCCTAACATTTGGTTTCAATTAGTGTGGAATGTCAACATTGTGTTTGTCATTAATTTCTCTTCCAGTTATATGTGATAAAGATTTTAGTTATTGTTGCACTTTAAAGACCACAAGAGATGTGGTTTCTATTATTTGGTTCAGTTTTTACTTGTGATTCTGAAACACCAGTCTACAAGTTTCGAAAAAGGGTTGTCCTCGTTTAAAACCTACAGGTTTCATTCGCTTGAAGAAGTTTTAAACACTCTTATGAGAACACTGTTCTATAGAGTTTAGACATTTCTGAACAGGCTGGTTACCATGCATATGAAATTCTCGATATGATGTCGCTATATAAGAACTTGACTCGAGTTTTTACGTTAGTGCTTTGGTTTTGTAGCAATTTGCGATGATGGACACGACTAAAGTGTTAATTAAATATCATTTTCATATATAGGGTTATTCAAAATGAATGAATCGGTTTCATTACGCAATATTTTAATAAAGAAAAGCAATAGAAAACTCCAGCCAAGTCACAAGTATTCTACTCATAAGTAACTTTTATTTCCTGTCGAGGTTAGTGGGTAGCGACAGAATATAAACGCTATCTTTTACGTATCCCACAAGAAAAAAATATCACGAACGGTGGGGTCTGTTGATATTGCAGGCCAAGCACAAAGAGCAAGGTCTTGGTAAGTGCCTGAACGAAGCGTAGTCTGTAAGGTTTCAAATGTAGACGTTTTCTTAGCACACATCGCAAGAGATCGCAAGCTCAAGGCTAGGTCGATTTGTGGACTTGCGTTGACTCACCTCAAGCGCAGCACGGATTCCTGCCACTTGTTCCTACGAAACTCGTGGTCGTCCTGGACTTTTTCCTTTACACAGATATCCATTCACTTATAGTTGTTTAAATCACCGTTTAATGTTCTTAGGAGAGGGCGGATTAATTACCTTAGAAAAACACGCTACGCTGTGATAACAGTGTTTTCGCGAACTCGAGAACACAAATCACTTTTTACTGAGGACTCGCATTTTCAGGGGTAATAAAAACAATTGAACGTTGTCGGAGATATGACACGATTACAGCACCTCTGTGGCAGCCATTCAAAACTTAGAAAACTCCTCTTTCAAAGTTCACTGACTCATTTCATTACGATGATTGAGAAATGAAGCAATGCGTCATAAAATCGGTTCATTCTTTTTTAATAACTCTGTATATGTCGTCATTATTATATTATGTTAATTCATATATTATACTATATTTTTAAATTATTATGTTTTTTAGCACTGCTTCATTTATCTGTTTTTCAAAATTCAAATGATCACTCATCGACACAAAACCTCCAACTCAGATCAATGGTTTTTATATATTATTGTTGATCAAATATAATGCCACAGAACCAACTAATTGTAGAGGATTACTGAATGAGGTTGTTGCATGTACGTAAGAGGATCAAGTGCATATTATGAGAATATGTAGGATAGATAGCGACTAACATGCGACTTGAATAGGTTAAGATCGTAGTGATGAGGGAAGTATCCTCCTTCGATAACGGAATTCTAGCTGGGAAGATCTGGTCTGATGGCCCTTAGACATGTAGCACGTCTGAAAATTTGCCATGATTTGTATAAAACGTTTCATAATTCTTAATGATTTTGAAGTTGTCTAATCGGAAAGTTATTTGTCAACGATAAGATTTATCCAACTCAAACTTAGAGAAAATTTATCCATTTTATCCAACTCAATTTATCCAACTCAAACGAAGAGAAAAGCTTTTTTAATCCTCTTCGATTTTCTGACTTAATATGATTATTAGTTACTCGTATTGATGGAAAATGCACATTTTTGCAAAAGTACACCAATGAAATTTTAATAGATGCAAGACTAGATTGATCGCGCAGTCAGTGCCTTGATTCTGGTTTGGTTCCAAGAACGACCGATTTTTTTTCATCACTCATATCGAGAAATATATTCTTTCACTTTAAGTTAATGAAAATCTCTTATGAAAGGCTATTTTCTCTCCCTTAAGTGTGGACAATATTTCATTAAGATACTTAAAGTACAAATTATTCATTTTTCATAGACAAGAAATTTCGAATTAATATTTTAAGGATTGTTAGTCTTATCTCGTTTTCATTGGATGCACAGTTCTGTATTTATGTACTATATTAAAAGTAAGTTGTCGGTTTTATAATCACAGTTTTGGTTATTGGTGGTCCCCAATAAAAGAACAAAGAGCCACTCAATGTATAGGCTTACGGGACGAGGTTGTTGAAAGTAGATAAAGGTCGTTCCGAGACTTAAAGAGGCTAAGAATGTAGAGATTGGGGAAGAATCCTGTCGTGGGGGAAAGCAACTATTCAAATGGATCTTCCTTCTTACCAATGGACTAGGAAGGGAATGTGAATGATTCGACACTGTGTACATGGCGTGACATATCTTAGCTGTAAAGGTCTGAACTAGTGAAGTTAAATAATCTAACTCGTCAGAACTTTCGACTTGGAAATAGTAATATGTTTGCGACGTTTCGTTTAGAAGAAAGGGATTGTAGGGTGGAAATTAATCATCGAAAAGGACGCGAAGACGCTCTTAGCCTTTATCAATTTTGGAAAGTGAAGATTTGGACAGCTTCAGTCCATTTATGACAGCGATATTTTACTTTTGGTCTAATCGTGCTATTGTAATGAAAGAGCATGTCAGGAGGAATTCGGTAATTTCAGCACCGTTAAATGGAACCGACCATTTTTCCATCCCCTTTCGCGATAGGGCGAAAGTATGTTTCACTTGAGGTCTGGGCTAAACTTGACTCCCACCAGACATTCAAAACAAGATACCAAATTGAGAACACAATTGTTCATTATGATAGGAAAAAATACAGGGTCTATTCTCCGATTGTTACTAATCAGTTAAGAAAAGCTGTCGACAAAAGAAAAATTAAAAAAAATTGAGTAACTTCTGTATTATAAAATGAAGTCTTAAGTATAAATACTATATAATTATTATAGCTGCTGTTTGAGTGAATCATGGTAATAGTGAAAGCATGAAGGTAACAAGATTTTGTTTACAATTTTTGGTGAATATTAGAACATATAGAATAGAAACGTTGTATTAAATAAAAACAAAAAAAAGCATCTGACATGGAATAATTTATAACTGACTATTACGGTAGTTGTTTTTTCAGTTATACACAAAGATCAACAGCTTATTTGACTAAAGCAATTATTAGAGGTAAATGGTTATGAGTTTTTGTTTTGCTATATAAGTTTTTGTTGGGTATTTCTATTTAGTTTTCTATTAAAGAACTTCCAAAAACAAAAAAAAACCCAAAAAAACCGAAAAGATAGAGAAATGATATTTGGCTTCAAGTGGCGGGAAGAATGTGTACATTAACTGACCAAGAAAACAATGACAATATTTATGAGCATTTGTTCAGGTAGAGCACAAATCCTTGTTGAATTACCTGATATTCCATTGATAAGTGTTCTTCTTAGTCAAGCTCGCCGAAGTGAAGGAGAACTTAATTTAAATTGAGGCACAAGAGATTTATGACTAAGTCCCATTTGTGCGAATGAATCACTGGATTTTAACCATTTGACTTATTTCTTACGTTGGTAATATAAAGAGTACTTTCTGTTAATACGACATCAAAGTGAAGCCATTTAAAATCGGTAATAGAAGTGGTGACCAAGCACGGGGTCATAATTTAACTAAACCCAAACCAATTGCAAATAAAATCTTTGATACTGTTCGATAATGTGCAATTTAATTCTGTTTTTAATAGATAAATGTTCATGATACGGTATATTCCAAGATTTTATGCGAGACCAATTTTTTGAAATGTCTTGCATATATTTTGAAATGACTGCATATATTTGAACATTTGGGGACAAAAGTTTGAAGACACTGAAATAAACAATCATGTCCAATAACATATAGTTCTGTGCAATAGGAAAAGAAAAATAGCAAATATTTATTCATTGCAATTTTTATGCAACATGGACCAAAAAGCAGGTTTGAGCAATGATGAAAAGGACAAAATTGTTCAAATGCCTCATGATCATAAAATAACATCAGAAATGGTTAAATCACTTGCAAGGGACTCTCGTATGAGCAAGAAACATGGTACAAACCCAGATGCATATAGCGTGCAACCCGATAAAATTACTGAAATCTGTGGGGCTTCAAAAACGACTAAAATATCGTTGAAACATTTAAGATCTGTTCGCCTTTCTTTGAAATCGAATCACCTTATTAATCTTTAGCACTTTGCATTATTAATATTACTTGCTTTTCCACTGCATTCTTTCTCAATTGCAATAACATTACTGTTAATTTCACTCAAAGGTGTTTTCTGTTGCCATAGCTGGATATAGCATCACAACTATGAAATTCGAACAAATTCAAATTCAATAAAAGGATAAACGTTTTGTACAGCAAATGAAATCGCATACAGAATGATACAGGTTAAGCGTGTCAACTGGGTCAAACTGTATCGAAAACTGAAATGCCAGAAAATGCTATTCACTGACGAGTGGAGGAGCGAAACTGGAGGACAGTTTCCAAAATGGGTGGTGACTGTAGAAGCAACCCTAGAGTGTTAGGATGAAGCGTCAGGCGGAAGGCTTATATTTTGAACTGGAAATGTAGGTGACAAACTTTTCTGACCCTGGAAGGTGAAAAAATGAACTCTTCTGCTAATATTGAATTTCTAAAGGTTAACATTCAGACATAGTTTAAGAAGACAGTGGCATTCAAAGGAAAAGTTATTTCATGGGCAAAAATGCTCCAGTTCAGGCTGCTGGTTCACATAATTAATACTTAGTTAAATTATGGATTAAATAACTTCAATCTTATTGTGTGGCTACCATATTCCATGTATCTAAACCGCATCTAGAACATTTATATAGTTGTTATGAGGGGAAGACAATGCATTTTGGAAGCAATATTGTCTGCTTTTGAATCTGTTATCCCTGTAAACATTTCCTAATTAATTTTTCCTGTTTCAAATGTTAAAAGTGAATGGAAATTATATCAGTAAATAATATTACAATTTTATATCCAATTTGCCTTAAGCATTTTTATGTAATTTTCATGAATAATTATCATTTGATTATCAATTGCCTCCCATCTTTTGTCTTTACATATCTGAACATTTTGGGATGCGTGCATAAAAAGAAGTGGAATGATCTAAAAATGTCCTCTCTCTCTCTTTCTTTCTTTCTTTCTTTCTTATATATATAAATATAGCATACATTAAAACTATGTTGTTATCATATGTATCTATATATATATATATATATGTGTGTGTGTATGTATGTGTGTGTGTCTTTTTGTGTATGTGTGTGTGTATGTGTGTGTACATATGTTTGAATTGTATAAACGAGTTCTGTCTAGTTTATTTTATTAACTTTTTCAAATTTCTGAAAATGGTTATTTAATATAATCGGTAAATTTACTGAAGTTCATATTTATTTTTATTTTATTTTATTTCTTTTTCGAAAAACGGATTTTTTGAAAACGAATTTAGCAACATTCGAAAGTCCTTGGCAAAAAATAAAATAAAAATAAATATGAGCTTTGGTAAATTTAGCGATCATAGAAAACACCTAATTCGGAAATTTGAAAACTTTTAATAAAAATTGGATGGAGACTGTTGATATTATTCAATCAAACATATTTTAAATAATTTTTGCTGCCGAAATACACCTTATATATATATATATATATATATATATATATATATATATATATATATATATATATATATATATATATATATATATATATATATATGTGTGTGTGTGTGATAAGATGAAGGACAAATAGGAGACATTTCCTCTGAGTCCAAGTATACACTGCCTGACCCAGGAATTGAAGTCAAAATTACTATGACCAAATTCAAAGTACAATATCATTGGTTCGTAAATTTGCTGACATATTAATGATGAGTTCAATCCCTGAATCAGGCAGTGTGTACTTTGATTTAGTGGAAACCGACGCGCAATAACTTATCAGTACTAAACCAGGTGAGATATTCCTAGACGTGGCTAGTGGAATGAGAACAGTCTTCTCCCGTAGATTAAATAAAGGGTTTATTCAGAAATTCTTGTAGATTTTCTCGATTGATATACACCCGATGAAGTCTGGTGGGTACAAACTATGTAATAACAATAATGTTGAGGACAGTAGTTCGAATGTAAAATAGTGCAAACCATAATCAGCAATGCAATTTTGCATATAACATTTTTGTATTGGAAAAATATTTACTGTTGCGATAAATAAAATCTTTACAATGTTATATAATAAATGAATGCTTAATATTTTCTTTCTCCAGATTTTGAAATCTACGTGGAAACGGATAAAAAATTCTCGGCGTGTCGTTGTACATATCCCGTCTTTAGGTTACACTGAAGACATCCGCGCACAAATGTATAATTTCCATGTTGAACAAAATAATCAGATTGCAAGGATCTGTAGTATTTCAGGTAAAGTCATTTTATATCTCTGTTCCCGAGCGTTAATACAATGTCTAACTTTTAACAATGCATTTGCAAATAACACACATACATGCGCATTTGTGTTATTTATGACAGCTTTTTTTCGGCAATTGAATTTCATTCTTTTCATCGATATTCTATTTCATCAGACCCCAACGTCGATGTGATTTACGTATCTCCAATCACTGTGACCGATGAAGCGAAGCAGTACTACCAGAAGTTGCTTTCTCTCAAGAAAGCCATTGACAGCGGGAATATGAACGACATTACGGACATGAACACGCGAATTACATTCGTTGTTCCTGAAGTTATTTCCCATTTTGGTGTAAGTACTACTACTATACCTCATGTAGGAAAAGTGGATTGAACGACTCAGTCTTGAATAGTCCGCTCCCTTTTGGAATACAGGTAGACAGAGCTTGTTCACCTTGTTTGGCAGTGTGTCTAAGAGAAGGATTCAAAACTGTGTTAGATGGCATTCCTTAGTCTCGTCGATGACAACAATTCAATTGGCTAACGGCTTCATCTTTGTGATGAGGGCGGATGAGCTGCGACTCGATAGCCAGCTGGTTGGGAGTTGATTTGGGACCCACCGGCGTCACATTTTTTCATGATAAGAATCATTTAAAGCAGTTCAGAATTAGAAACCAGAGAGCCGAATTCGAATACCAGTCGAGTTCATGACATTAAGTTACGCTCAAATACCATTTTGAAAAGTATGGATACATCATTACTTCTCACCCATCTATTAAATAGCAGCGAATACTGGGTTCTGTAGCCGTAGTTGGCAACCAGCATAGTAGAAGAACAACTCTGAATTCAAAAGCGTAACATTTGTCCTTGGTCTCCGACTCTCAGTAATAAGGATGGCGAGACACAAAATAATAAATAAAATAAAATAACAAGTACAAATACAATAAATTTGAGGTGATGCAACTGTTATGAAATGTGTAATAAATAAATAAATTACAAATGGAATTAATTTTGAGCCAGCACAAATGTTATAAACTATTTATTTTCTTAAACTGGCTATCTTCCTTGTCAATGGCAGGACTGTCGAAATGCAACACGGATATTTTAATTTTAGTTGTCGAGTTGAACAAAGGATGGATTTTCTTCTTTCTCCAAATAAGTAATCTGCTTTGACTAGGGAAGGGACTTTTTAAACAACTGTACTTAGTCTGACCACTGTGTCTATCTTTTTCTTATTTTTTTATAGGGATTTGGCGTGATTAAAGCCACTTAATCATGCATAAACATGAATCATATAACAGGCTTTTTTTGGAGGGGTGTGGGGATATCTCAGTTTCAGTTAATTCCATTTAGTAACTCAACTCTCTAAGTTTTTGATCGCCTCTGCTGTGGCCAGTTATTGAACTCAAAACACTTTGGTCAAGTCACTTTTTGGAATACTTCAATGGACGCTTTTATTCACTAGGGTATGTATCCTTGAGTTACTAAATGGAATTAACTGAAACTGAGATATTCAGAAAGGGTATGGCACATGGAACTAGAACAATCTACCCCCGTGGACGAAATAAAAGGTTCGGTTCGAAATTTCAACGTATATCACCTGAAAAAGACCGGAAAATACAACGACCGAACCGCTGTGAATATGACAATAAAGATGTCAACATTTCGAACAATGCAAATAGGGTAAATAAAAAATAAGCTTTTTTCTAAATATGGCTTTCTTAGTTGATTAAAGAAGCGCCTATTATTTATTGTCAAAGATGATTATCATTTATGGTGAGAGATTTTATTTTCTATACATTTAATATTTTCCTTAAAAGCATGTAACATGGATCAGCTTTGGAATTAAGTATAATCTTAAATTATTGTTTCAGAAAAAGAACTTGTGTCTATCATCAATGCTCAGATATAGTCCCAATGCCCTGCAGCGTATCCAACGATTAATCAAAGGCAGAGATGCTTACATTGTTCCTGGAATGGTACATGTTGATGATCTGGAAGTTGCACGAATTTTAGACATCCCAATTCTGGGATCGGAACCCCAAGTGGCTCAGCTCTACTCCACAAAATCTGGTGCCAAAAGAATATTCGAAAATGCCGGAGTTAGTATGCCCCCAGGGGACTACGATATCTACAGTAGTGACCAGGTAAGAAAAAAACCAAGGGACAAACCGGTGGACAGGAATCGTAGAAAGTTTACTTTGGGTGAGTCATTGTTCTTAATTCACGTGTTGTGTAAAATAATACCTTCATCAGACTATAAATCAGTGTTTCGAATATGGAGTTCTTCGAAATGATTATTGGACAATTCAGATGAGGGCCTAAGAATACATGATAAAAATGAAACAATAGAATCCAAAAGGGTAAAGATAATGTGAGGGTGCTTTGTATGACAATGACGGACTTTTCGAAGATGGTTACAGATCTTAGGTCATCGTCAAGACTCTCCCTTCTTCATCTGAATTCAGCTGCCCACATTTGTACTGTTGATAAATCTGGAGCATCATCCCCTAATGTAGCAACCATATCAGCATGAATGTCCTTGGGGGATAATTCCTTTTCCTGCAAGTACTTAATAACACACACGATGCTAAATTATGTCAATTTTTAAGAGAAGTTGTTACTAGTTAATTTTGAGGTCTTTTTTGAACAGTCAGGTATCCGTTTACCTGGAAAAATGCAGTTATTAAGAAGAAGAGTTGAAATTAGATACATGCAAAAAAATTATTAATATAATTAGTATTATGTTTTGGTGCAGCAGATTTTCTTTAAAATTATTGTTAGTTGCTTTTGACATTCACGAAATTGTTCAGTTATACGTTAACTGCTAATCCAATATCAGCATAGGGACATATGTGACTACTATTATGTGAAACAGAATATGATAGGTACCAATTAAAGTTTATTTTAGTTCTAATACCTTTTGAGAAAATGGATATCAAAGCATTCTTACTAACCCCAGAAGTTATGCCACCAACAAGTGGTGATGTTTATTTCTTGTGTTCATAATATTATACATTATTTTCTAACAGAAAGATACTACATGGCAAGGAAAGAACTCTTATTACATGTTATAAATGTGATTTACATTTATTTGAAAATTACGTCCACGTCACCTTATGTTGGTGACAAAATTAAATTTGCAAATATTAAAAAAATATTGTAGTTGGATCAATAATTTTTCTTCCCTTGAGCTTTGTTTATCCCCACTCTATATTTATAAACCATTCAAGTAAAAGTTAAGAAGAGTGTTATATGCATTTTGCCAAAATGTTACAGGAAACTATAGACATTACAAGATATAGAAACATGGACTGAGTGTCTAAGAAATGTGGCAAAGCAAATTAAAATGAAAATTTAACCATGACCAGTATCTAGAGACACGGCGTAAACGGAAATTCCATGTCAACAATATAAGGAGACATGGTAGTCGGCGTGTTATTGGAGATCAGGCAATTTAATATCCTTTTTTAGAATTAATTATTTTTTCAGGATTTCCGATTATTCTGATAGGATTTATAATTATTCTCGGTCCGCATTGCTTTCAGCATATTTTTACTTTCTGTTTAGTATGGCTCTTCTTTTAAGTTCTCTACTCTTACAAATTATAAAAAGAAAAAATGTTTGATTCCATTATTAGCGGAATTTTTGAGCGTATTTAATATTTTACCAGTTTTTCAATTTCATTCTTTCTTTTTCTTGATTTTATGTTTAAATATTTTTTTAATCTTCATTAATGTGGCATATCCTTCTAGGGCATGGATGATCTTTATTGTTCTTATTTTTTTAAAACTTTACTATCCCTTTTTTTCCCTGGTCTGTCATCTACTCACTAATTTGTTATGTAGATTATTCGCTGTTTCTTCTCCATTCTCTCGACTTCAATTTCATGGAAATGTTAAATTATCTAGGCTTTCTTTCCTGAATGTGTCACAGAAATTTCGACAAGTTTCTGGGGAAATAAACAACCTTACCTTCCAGGCAAAGGTGTGGTTAATAAAAGCTCATTTAAGGTAAGAAGAGAGGCGGAATTATCAGGGGCTTAACTGTAATTTACAAGGATGAAGAGTTCATGATTAAGTGTTCATATTTACTAGACGGTAACTTCTCGGTACTCCATCTTATAATAGGTAATACAGAATTCCGGACGTACCACTTTATTTAATAAACAAATATTAGACAACATTGCATTCTGAGTGTGTAAAATATAGTCATCTCTGATTCCATTGAGCGCTAAGAACGGATAGATGATAATCAAAGAGATCGGCTGAGTGCTTTTGTTGTGATCCAATTATTAATCCACGCTGGCCTCCTCTGCATACTTGGCAATATAATAGATTATATTTCAGTTATATTACAGGAATACGATTAAATACTAAGTTTACTTTTTTTTTACATTATTTACGTTCGGATCTTCGTTCTTAAGATCACAAAATTTCTGATGATGTGACTTCAGGTCTTCTCTAGGCAGGGGTGTGTCGATCTGAGTAACCCTCAGGGAATTCTGAACTGAACTAGACGTCAGAAGGGTCATCCCGCTTGCTAAGCTATGACGGCCTACTCAATAAGGATAGTATTGAAATGAATACCATGTAGGAGATATTACTAACGAAAGAAATTGAAACGACGACGGAAATCTTGTCAAGTTCCAGAGCAAGGTTTCAACAGCAGTAGAAGCATTAAGTGAAGGAAAGCGGCGTCGGCAGCGGTGAAGGAAGTTAAACGTTGGTTTATGAATTTAGTGAAAGAGTAATTTTAAGTTCAGTCTCTGACAGACTCAGTGGAAACATGACAAGCAATAACAGATCATTACTACAGAGAAAACGAAATATTATTTGATAAGGATAGTAGAGCTGGTTTATTTTTCACTTTTTAAAAAATTCAACATTGCACTTGGTGTGAAAGCTGGAGTTTGATATGATAAGTACTAACACCAAAACTGAGATTCATATCTTTAAGCAATTTTTGAGGACTTAGTTTTAAAGATCGTCTGAAAAAATGTACGTAAATACTTCATTTTCGCAGGTTTTTGCTTACAAACTGACTGCAAATGTTCACTATTTCAAGAATAAAATTTGTTAGATCATTTGTCATTTGTTAGATCATAATTAATAAAAACAAGAAATAGATAAAAGTGTGTATAACACCATAATAATGCTGGGATCAAATTATAAGTAAAAATGTTTTGCGCTGTTTATTGAAAAATGGCACTAAAACTACTGCACTGTAAAATATATTGCATTATAATATATTGCATTATAATATAACTAAATTGTACAGTTTAATTTTCCCTTGAAGTAAATGAGGCTCTTATTTGAGGGCACAATGATTTAATAATAATGTGTATGCGCTTTGCATCTTTTCCATATACAGTTTGTAAAGCTTCAGTAAAACATAAATATCATAAGGCTGTGCTTTAAGTCTTTAACTGATCACCGGAATGAAATTGCAACGTTACGATTTTGAACCTAAACTTAAACTTTAAACTCCTTTTATCAAAAAACGTTAATTATTTTGAAAATAACATTTTGTGTCATTATTTATCATGTCAAACCCAAACTTTTAAACCGAGTGCCATACCACGGTTCCAAAATCGACCTGCCCTAATTGAGAGCCGATTAAGGACAACCCACTTCCGTAGATTAAATAAAGATTAAGTGTTTATTTTCAAATTCCCTAAAGACGGCCGAAGGGGAAAACAACTGAAGCGTTTTGATAATAGCAACAAAGACGAACTTGTTAGTCCGGTAAATTATTTACATAATAATCCGTCATCACCACAGAAATCTCTGCTGGTGCATTATGATACTGTTAGATTGTTATTTTATTTTATTTCGTTAGCGTTTTGAGATTAGGAATAATTGTTTTAAATTAATGTGGTTGAATTTCATTTCTTTCAGATGCACGAAACAATTTCCCAGTTGATAATAAATAACCTGGATATAAAACGATGGTTGTTTAAATTTAATAGTAGTGTGTCTTCAAATGGGATTGCCTACTGCGACATCACAAAGCATTTGACTTGCTACTCACATGTGATGAAAGAAAAAGCTCGTTATGGCAAAGAATGGTGTCATAAATGGGCACACGTAAGTCTTTTGTCCGTCAGGACTTTTTTGTGTTCTTTTACAGTGTGAAACCGGCGAAGAAATTAAACAAATTGGAAATGAAATAGGATTCAGAGAAGAAAAATATTCTCACACGTTTAGTTAAATTAGAAAAACAAATATATACGCTCCCATCACACACACTCACACACACACACACATATATATATATATATATATATATATATATATATATATATTGAATAAAAGACATTCCATTTTTATAAAATTATAATGTTTTAATTTCAAACTATAGACATATGTCTATTATTTCACAATTTATTTATATAAACTGTTTATGGATTGCGACAAAAAAATTGTTTCCGTCCAATTTTCAATGATGAAATAAACGATTTTATTTAAAAAGAAATTAAAATTACTTTTTTACATTTTGAAAATTTTTTTTGAAGACAAAGAAACGAATATATATATCCTGCATTCTATAAAACGAAAAGAAAGATAAAAGCAAATTAAAGTAAAAAGGCAACGAAAAGAAGAAATCAATGAAAAGAAAAATAAACTTATGGAACGCTATTCAACTGTAATGAAACTACGGTGAATTGTAATATTGACCTACAATCTTGCTAAACTTTATAACTTAATAATCACTCTTCTTATGTTAAATATTTATAAAAAATATTTTTTTGGTATATTCTAAAGATATTGAATAGGTTAGTAGTACATATTGGCCTATAATTATTTATAGTTCGGTAAAGATAGTTTTAATTTAAAAAAGTCATATAAATGTTTAAAATTCATTTTAGTTTTAATTCAAAATAAATATTTAAAAGTCTTTAAATGTTTAAAATTTAATTTATTCTTTTAAAATACGATTAGTATATTTAAGTTTTTTCTTTTTTTTTACTGCGTATTGAATATGTGATTTCATTCAAAATCATAAAGTTTGAATCATTATTAATATAATCAGCGTTATATTTCAATTCAATTTTGAATTTTTTCTTAAATGCCTTCATTGCGTGTCCTTCTCACTTTTTTATTTTCTTCACTTTCCTTTTCATTTGTATCTGTAAAATTTGGATATATTCCTCTCCTTTTTCCTTTCTTTTCTTTTCCTTTCTCTTGGTAGTAGGGTTTCTTGTGCTTTCTTATGCCTTTCCTTATTTTCCTCTTTCTTTTTCGTTTTATTGATTTTTTTGCCTTCTATGAAAAATTTTCAAAAATGTAAAAAGAAGTATATTCAGAGAGTGTTAGATAAAGATTTTACTGCATGATGACTCATTTTACGAATTAAAATCATCAGACAATCGGCTTCTCTTTAGGACTCTCTCTCTTGCAGAATAAATAATAGATGAATTTACGTTATGGGTGATCATCAGATAAATTGTCTGATGATTGGTTAGGTGGCTCATATCCATACAATATTGGTCTATTATTGAGCACTTTCTAATACGTAGCACGCATATATATATATAATATATATATATATATATATAAAATTAAATTATAAAATAAATTTAATTTTAATTAAATAATAAAACACAACACACAAAATCACATATTTGTTACATTTCTATATATATCTGTTTAAATTTTCTAATTGTTTAGATATTTGATTGATGTTACTTTAGCATCAGACTCCAGGCTTTGAGGATTCCGTGATAATGGGTATTAATTGACTGGTGATTGTTTCATTGCATTTGTGTGTGTGGTTTATCGAAAAAATGTCTTTGATCTTGTTGTTTAATTTTGCAACAAGCGTTTTCTTGTAACTTTTCAGTTTTTTTCATAAATTATGCAAATAAGTCAAGATAAATTATGGAGGAATATGATGTAATGTAATATGTTAAAAAACAAATGGGAATTTTCATGTAATTTTTTGTGATGTCATTATAGTTTATATTATTTTAGTTTAAGAAATAAATTTATGCATTATATATTTTAAATAATGACACACTTCTCTGGTTTTTTTAATATCGTTATATTCATATATCTTGGCTTGTTAAAGGAATATTTATTTTAATAAAGGAGATTTTAATAAAGGAGGCACTTGAAAATATCCGGTGAGATTTTGGTGACATTTGATAGCAGAACTCTCAAGATTTTTCGTCTAAGCAAATTAATTTCAATCAGGAACTTATTTCTATGTACACATGTTGAAAACTGCTAAAATAAGTTTATTATTAGATTGCGATTTTCACCAATATATTTAAATAACAGTTTGACGATTCATTTTATATATACCTGCTTCAGAATAAGCTTAGCAATCAATTTTCTATTTTCTTTTTATAGCCGAATAGTAAAGCACACGGGAGCAAGCGGTGGCTTTCATTTCAAAACGGATATAGGTTCGATCCCTGTCGGAGAACGCATTGTTTCTTTAATAAGAATACATGAATGTGCAACCTAATACACGCAGCTTACTAAATAAAATAGGGCGTCTATTTTAAATACGAAGTATCCGTTATAATAACGTTTTAAGCAATTTGTGATAATTATATTTATTATGATAGTAATTGTTTTATATAAACAGTTTAATTTTATGACAATTTTGTTATCCATCAAGCAATTTGACGAATTCATCAATATTAATGAATTCAAATGTCAGTGTGTCACACTTTTTCAACTTTACTCCTCGAGGCCGTAACATTTTGGAATCAGGCCGACTCCGTGAGCAATTTAAAAACATTCTGGGCCGGATCCGAACCTGTAATCCTGAAATTTTACATTCCCAGGTTTTCATTACTGCCATTGTTTTCGGCGATTTTTACGTGAATGCTACCGACGAATTTTTTTGTACGATAACAATTTTTATAACTTGGAAATAAATTGGGGAATAAACGAAATTAATAGCGAAATCCAGTGAAAGTCACCGATGAAATAAAAGCAATTGTTTGTACGGAAAGTACAGACCTACGTACATCATACTGTCTTTATTTAAGTGGCGGCAGAAGAAATGCAGCGATCAATTTTAAGTTCTTCTGTAGTTTATCGTTGCCTATCGCACACGGGAGCAGTATGCTTCGCAAAAAAAACTCAAACAGAGGACAAGGTTACAATCAAAATTAGCTAAGGTTGCAGCGAGGAAAAGAAAGTCCCTGCAAATGAAAACCTAGATCAAACGACGGCCACGAAGGCTTTCAATGCTGAAAATATGCAAAACTGATTTCTGCTTAAGTTTCTCTCGGCTTGTAGGAAGAGGGGAATATAGCCCTGTCCTTTCACATAGCCCTATAGAAAAAAATCACAATATGTCATGTTAAATGAATGCGGTGGCAACAGCAAATTGTCATTATCACTGGCACGCCTGATTCATCTTCCTGGTAGATTCTCATTGAGATAAGTCTGCACAGTCAATTTGAGATCACTTGAGCGAAAATTGGCTATATTATTAGACTACAAAATGATGTCAATTTTTGTGGAGACCCTGCATTTAGCACCTCGTTCAACTCTCCTTATATACATTGCTTTTATATTGAAGCTTGGTATTACATGTACGTCATTTTCTGAATACTTGCCATTAGTTCGTGTCGACAATACTGATATTTTCATATATTGTTGTTTCTTTACTAGGAATCATCGTTCCATCAGGTGTTCTCTGAGATTCCGAGAATTCTCCGGCAACACGCCTGTCCACTCAACAGAATTCTTTATCCCAACTGGGAATCATTTAAAGTTGCATTTCTGAATGAAGGTAGGTATAAGACTATACTATGTGCAATGCATATATAAGATTCAATTTTGATATAAAAAACGAACACATACCTGAGCGCATGAACATACATATTCATATATTTCTCGTCACAGTCCATCTTGCACATTTACAAATCTACTATTCATTCGTGCATTGAATACTGCTGCCGTATCTGGTCTGTTGCTCCTGCTATTCATCTCGTGGTTCTTGACAAAATCCAAAGAAGGATTTGTAATGTAATCGATCCTGATTTGACATCTCGACTTCAGTCACTTTCTCACCGACGGAGCCTACCTTCTCTCTGTCTTTTCTACAAATATTTTCATGGTAGCTGCTCTGCTGAAATTTTTTTCCTGGTGCATCGAATAATGAATTTAAGCGTGCTACTTGATTTGCATCGAGGTCCCAAGCGTTTACTGTTGAAAAAGCTGAATGCAATCGCCTCTTCGACTCCAACAGTTTCTTTACTCGCACTTCCCGCCTGTGGAATTTCCTTCTATTTACTTGCTTCCCTGATAACTACAATCTTAAAAAATTAAATGCAACATCAATCACCATCTTCTGTCTTCTTGAATCCCATTCATCTTTTGTCCTTTCCTCAATCCCTCACCATACTCATTTTTTCCCCCTCACTTTCACTCTCTGAAACTCCCTGCTTACAAGTGGTATTTCCGCCTTGGCCGGGTTGAATTAAAAAAATAATAATAAATAGATTGTAAATAAGCAAAAATGCTTATTAAATTATCTGGTCATCCCATATGTCGGGATTCATAGAAAAACAATAAATTCTTTTTTGTTTAGAAGAAAATAATTTCGAGATTAATTTTCCATCTGTTCGCACGAACCGATTCTTAAAATTATAAAAGCTTAGCGAACCGGTTGTTAGATTATGCTAAAGTAATCTTATATATTAATAGCCGATGGTCTAGATAAAATATTAGTTACGCTACGCTCATGCGCCTAGTAAATATCTAATAGATACAAGTCCCACACTCAACGCACGACACACATGAAATCTTTGTTAATGGTTTATGTGATTACATTGAAAATGTAACAAGAAATTACCATAAACATGTTGTACCCTAAACTATCTAAAGAGCTAAAATATTATTAATACCATTGCTGTAAGTTCTACGGAGACTGAAAGAGGTTTTTTTGTGATGAACATAATTTATTCTAACAAAAGAAATTGTTTTGAAGTTAAAAATGTGGGAAATCTTCTCGTCATAGATTTGATAGGTCTTCCATTGGATATTTGGGAATGCAGCGAATCAGTTCGAGTGTGACTAAGAAATCATAAAATAGCTTATGATACTAGAGTCAAGAAGCATCATACTTCTGAACAGAAATATGATGAGAACAATATTTCAATCTGGAAATATCTTAATAAATAAATGTTCTCCACTAAGTTATCAAAATGATTTAATTCATTTTGATACTATAAAGTGGTTTGTTTTCATTCTCAGATTGAAAAGAAAACAAACAGGATAGGTTCCTAAAGATTGCCTACCTTTATAGAACCAATTCCTGGAAATTTGGGATGGCATTATTATTTCTAACTCATGAAAATTTTGTAAACTCCAGAACAGATGACAAACACATGAAAAAAGATCTGGAGAATAAAGAGAGTGTGGGTTTTCAAATGAGACTTTTGTGTATGACATTATTTATTATGATTATAGAAAACCATGACATTGCAAATGAAAAAAAAAAACAACAAAAAAGCAAAAAACAAAACAAACCAGGTCTTCTTTTCGTTCATATATATATATATATCACTTTAAATTTATTTTAGAGGATACTTGTATTTGAGCAGGTGCTCCGTTGACTTATTAAACACTATACATTTTCACTGACCGGCCTGAATTGTATAAACTGCAGAACAGAACCTAAAAATTGGTTTCGAGGCCAAGCGGTAAGACGCAAATTTTTATATAAAATTTTTCGAATATTTAGGTCAGTAGGTGAAAATAAATATACTGTCTAATAAAGAAACAGAGCGCCTACTCGAATACAAATATCCAATAAAAATAGCGTTTAAAGTGCTGTATATATTAAATGGTTCCAGAATATACCGTCCAAAAAACGCTACTTTTATTCAATTCGATTTAATCGATTTCTATCTCTCCATTTCTGAAAATATATTAGAAAATAGCTTAAATTTTGCCAGAAATTATATTAATAATACTGGTGATGAACAAAAGATCATAATGGTTTCTAGACAGTCCATATTGATATATAATGACTGCACTTGGGTTAAGAATAATAATAAAAATTTCGACGTTCCCATGGGAGCTTATGACTCTGCAAAAATAGTCAGTTTAGGGTGTTTATATATATTAGATACACTAAGTAGATTCAATGACCCCAAAAATGTAGGTCTGTACTCATTGTTATACCTAATAGCAATGGTTCTCTGATCTTCAAGTTACATAAAAAGATCATTAAAGCTTTCCAATTTCTAGGATTTAAAAGTGATATATCATCTAACCTATAAATTGTTAATTACCTGGATGTTTTATTTAGTCTCTCTATTAATATATTCGAATCCCCCCAAAAAAGAAAAGCAAGCCCCCATCTACAGCAATGTTCACCCAATCCACCCCAAATCAATTATAAACAAGATTCCCAACAGCGTCAACACCAGAATAAACAAATTGTTTTCTAGCTGTAAAATATTTAGTGATAATAAATCTAACTATAATCAAACCCTCAAGAAAAGTATGTTTCAACATTAAATAGAAAACCTACAAAATTAAATATAATAGACATGAGGAATTACTAAACCAACGCAATGAGATTGTCTTAAAATGCCGACATAAACATCGACTCAAAGTAACAAACTACACCAAACTTTCGGGAAACTCATCCTTGGGAAATCCATTATGAATGCACATAACATGGAACAATACATGTGGTCACTATGTAGGTTTAATAGTGTAGTTTTGTGTATGTATGTATATAGATGTATATATATATATATATATATATATATATAAGTATTTATATGTACTTGTTTGTATATGTGTATAGTTTTGGTTATATAGAGATGGCTATATGCATGCACTTTTATGTGTTGTGTTTATGGATATATATATATATTTTAAATGTGTGTGTGTGTGTGTGTGTGTGTGTGTGTGTGTGAGTGTTGATGTGCTATATATGTACTTACCGGTAGAATATATATTGTGTAATGATGTGACATATATACATGTTTTTTGTTGTTGAAATTATGTTCGCCCTCTATATACTAACCAATGGAAAGTACATAAGTTTGCCAAATAGAGTACCACAGGTTTTTTATAATTACTTTAAAAATTTTTTATACATCCTTAGTCGACTTAATTCTTTTGTTTAATTTAATGTAATATTGTATTCTTTCCATCTTAGCTGAATATTGTTTTATATATTTGTATATAAGTTTTTTTTACCCTTATTTGATTCTATCTTGTCACTTTATTTTATTATTTGTACCATTATTTTTATTATCTTTATTACTCGTGTTATTCTTATTTGTTTTTTATTATTATTGTGTTATTACCATTTGTATATAGATGAGATGTATTGCCTTTATTTTAGTTAACTTTTAATAGAATTTCCTTAAATTTTTATTGATGAAAAAACTTTTTAAATAAATATAATATTATTGATGAATTAAAATACACATATATGTATATACATGTGTACATATGGGCGTGTGTGTATTTATGTGTATGTATATGTGTATGTATATGTGTGTCTGCATATGTCTGTATATATATATATATATATATATATATATAAATATATGTGTATATATGGGTATATATATGTGTGTATGGGTATGTATATATATATATATATATATGTGTGTGTGTGTATGCGTGTGTGTTTGTGTGTCTGTGTGTGTATTTATATATTTTAATAAAGATTCTTTTTGGAAAAAAATTCTTTACATCTTTTATAGAACAAATTCTTTACACAATTTTTTCTATTAGAACTTTGTTAGTTTTCTTTTAGCTTTGAGTTGCTATTATTATTATTATTATTATTATTTTATTATTATTCTTTTTAAAATATTAATGTTAAAGTGTCATCTTTTGTCTGTGTCCCGCATGTATATTTCTTTGTTCTTTTTTTCCTGACTAGCCTCTCTCTCTCTCTCTCTCTCTCTCTCTCTCTCTCTCTCTCTCTCTATATATATATATATATATATATATATATATATATATATATTCTCCTTTCTATCTCTTTTTTTCTTACTTCTACGCTCCCCTTCCACTTTTCTGAGGATATACTTGACAAAGAGGTCACCATGCCTAACAAAACCCACACCTCCCACTCATAATATGTCTCTTAAGATGGGTGCAAAAACATCTATCTCTTTTCTTCTTTATCTCTTTTTTTCTTTTCCTAATTTTGTTTGCATGTTTTTACCTTCCACTCTCTCAATCACCTTTTCCTTTTCGAGAGATATATATCTCCTGTCACCAATTTACACCTGTCTTCTCAAACACATATGTGTAGAAATTAAAAAATAATAATACTGAATTCTTCTTATACCTGGAATATTTGTCACCCATTTTTTGTATGAAAATGTTGATCTGAGGAATTAGAATCAAATTTTGATTCAAAGGAAATAAATTATAATAACCTTGAACCCTTAAAGTTGTTTGTTTCTTATAATTAATATATATATATATATATATATATATATATATATATATATATATATATATATATATATATATATATATTAATCATTTCAGCAATATAGCCACTAAGACACAACAGGGGTGTTCAATGAGTGTAAATGAATATGATAGAAAGAAAAACATTATTAAGGAGAGACGATGATACAATAATAGGAATTAAGAAGACAGAAGATAACGATTGACAATGCATTTCCATTTCGGAAGATCAAGAGACGTTCCAAAATGTACAGAGAAGTGCAGATGTTCACTTTCACTCTTGCTTTGTTGTCGCCTTTTGTTAAACCATTTTCAATTTTGAATATTTCGCTTTTTTCTTTTGTAGGTCTAAATAGTGTTTCTCCACTTACTATCACTCCCAGTACCCTTTCTACCATCCATTCACAAAAACATAGGTTACTCACTGTTTGCCGTAATACGTCCTGCGAATGTCAAGTTCTTCAAGCCCTCTTTCCATATTATGCGTTCCAGAAATTTCAACCGTCGTTTTTCTGATTCTAATGTCTATTTTGCTTCTATTTTATTTAAAATTTCTGCGTTGTTCAACATGTTCCGCCCCTTGTATTTTCAGCATCTTTCTGTGGAACGGCATTGCATTAACTGTTATAGGGAAGAATGATATTACATACTTGTTCAACTCAGTTTCCTTTGTTTTTAAGAAGTCACTCAGTCACAATTGCTGTAAACATTTTTCAGAACGAAGACTGTTTTACTCCAAGATGACTCGCTCTTTTTACCTGGAAGAATGGATTACTTTTTTTTTTCGATTTATATTTTGTTATCTCACAAAAAATGTTTTGCTCCAGAGCCAGTGTTTGATGATACGAGTTTTGTGGAGACAATTGAACTTGTCGCGACACGAATGATTACAGAATATATTTATTAAACTTACTGAGCTTAGCGAAATCTGGTAAAAGGCTCAATAAGCTTGCGAGCCATTCTAACAGAAAATCGCGCAATTCCAATATCACCGCAGAATAAAAAAAAATGATTCTGTCTTAAGATTAAGAAGAATTAATTATTAACCTACCTTACAAGATTGTGTAAATGGTTGTCAGTTAGAAGAGATAGCAAAAAGACAAATATTGCTAAGGAATATAAAGGAAAGAAAGTTGTGGAGAACCATGATCGCCCAAATTCTGATGGGACACGGTACGTAGAAAAATAATTAGTTTAGTTACGATCAGAAGAGTCATTTGTTATTTAAAATAATATTGTAAGAAAAGAGCAAGAATTTACTAAATAATTTGTCATCAGTTTCTTTTACTAATATATATAAAAATTCCCAACATCCTTCGTTCGTGCACATGTGCAGTTGCATCAACGTAACAAATGATGAAGTCCGATGAAGTCTTAAAGGACGAAACGCGTTACAAGAAAACTTTTTTGCACTTTGTCATACATTCCCTATCCCCACACACACAAGTGCGTAGGGCGATAGATGTAACACACACTGTTTAAAATAAAAAAAAAACGGTGCGTTTATTTTAAGTAGTAAAATATAGTTTGAAGAGCAATATATATATATATATATATATATATATATATATATATATATATATATATATATATCACCCAATGCAAGGCGCTAAAGCCACTAAGACAGAAGGGGTTACAGGATGTGGAAGTATTAGGAACAGAAACATTAATATTGGGCAGGAAGAGGAAACAGTAATCAGGAAGAGAGTAGACAGCGATTGACTTTGCATTTAAATTTTTGCAGATTAAAGTTGGCTGGAAAGTGTGGAGCCGGAAGGGAGTTCCACTGGCAAGAAGTGCGAGAAAAAATCTACCGCTACATCTAGCCAGCTAAAGTGTAAATTAATGAGATCTCGATGCCAGTCTAGTACTGCGTTTAAATTTTAAAAGTTTTAAAAGAACAGTTCATGCGAACAATGAGTATGAAAGTATTTATAGAAAATCACAGAGAGACAACCGTCAGATCAAGATGAATAATATTGCTGATTCTTCTTTGGATTTTATCAAGGAGCTTAAGGTAAATAGCAATGGCATCGGAATATATGTGGCAGGAATATATGTTATGTCACGTCTCTGTACAAGAGCTTCAGGCAACATAGAAAAGTCTGATCCAGTGATTATTTCCGGAATAAGTTAAATTGCAGCTAATTTTACTCTCAGGAATCACAGAGAAAAATAAAAGTACAGATTAGGTTATCTTCAGATTGTTTACATATTATTAATATTACATATTACTTGCTTTGTTGAGTTCAGGATTAGATAATTGCATTGAAACGATTAATTAACATTGATTAACATTGGTTGAGCACTTATCTGCTTAATGAAACAAAACTAAATTAAATTAGTTCCATATAATGTTTTCTACAAAGGGAAAACATGGCATTTATGGCAAAGAAAGTGTTTATTTTACAACCGCTTTTATGAAAGGAAACACTGCGCTATTTCCGAACTCATGTGTCATTTCTTTATAGAAATTGCAGTCATTGTGCGGTTTTCATGTCTGTACATCCCCGTTAGTAAGCAGTATGTTGGAATTGTTGTTGTTATCGAGACATTATCTTAAGATCTTCTGTCTGCCGTGTCTTTTTAGGACCTTAGTGATCATGGCTCTCCACAATTTTTGTCTTTTTTATTATCTCTCTTAAACACCTAAGGTAGGTTTGCCTTCAATCTATCACGTGAGTATCAAATTTTCCAAGCCCTCTTTCTTCATGATGTGCCTTAGAAATTTCAACTTTTTCTTTCTGATGCTATGTTATAATCAAGAAATTATGAAATTAGCTTTGGTAGAAATTTGAAGTATAAGTGTCCTTTTGTTTTCATTTTCACTAAAACTTTGTCGTTGTTCACATGTTCAGTCCATGGTATTCTCAGCATCCTTCTTGCTGTAAAACCACATATATCTTGCTTCAAGTCTCTCTTCATTGGTGAAGAGATTATCCAGCATTCAATGCCATATAGGAGAACTAATATTATGTAACAGTTCAATACTCTTTTCTTTATTTATAACGAAATTTTCCTGTTTCTTAATACTTTGCTTAACTTCTGGAAGGCAATTTTCACTATCCCAATGCGCCTTCGGGTTTCAGTGTCGCACTTTCCGTCCTCTGTTAAAACACGAGTTATTTAAATTTTCTCGTTTGATTTTGTTATCTCAATAGGCAAATTATCTCAAGATAGATTGCCAAAATTAACTTTGGTAGTTTAAGCTGAGCAATTACTGATCGTATTTTCGTCATAGTACAAAGCTGATTGAATCCAATGTCGTAGCTTTGTCCATTGGTGAGTGAAATCACAAGCAATGACATGTCTAACTCATATTCTCATTATCACGATTCGCAATGCTAACACTATATAATCAGTTTCGTCTTTATGGGAGAGCTTTCAGATTCTCTCAGAGACGCCAATTATTGGCAGTCGTTACAATAAAATTCGTTTTAAAGTTACGATGTGGTAACATATATATATATATATATATATATATATATATATATATATATATATATATATGTGTGTGTGTGTGTGTCTGTGTGTGTGTGTTTGTGTCTGTGCATGTGGGCATTTGTGTGTAGGGTTTATAATGTCATTGATTGATTCGTTTTCTATGGCTTAGAAATATTTTTAGAGTGTAAGAATTTTTGGTTGGGGGGAGATAATAATGGTTTAGTGATACGAGTCTTAGTAATTAACACATAACTGGGGGAGTAAATTTAGTGGTTTTAAATTTATGATTAGGCATAGTTAAATATTTTCGATTTCAGTCGATAAAGAATTAATTATTAAAATTAATTTTTCTGGTGTAAATCTAGAAAATATTTTTAAATTGTGAGAATTGTTTTTTGGAAATAATAATGTTTTAGTGATACAGCTGTTACTAATTAACCCATACCTGGGGCAGAAGAGGTGGATTCATACCTTTCCTGAGGGTATTGGAGCATGAGTGAATATAATGAACCCAACTGGAATTGGAACTCGGCTCTAAGATTAACAATTTCGTGCCATTATCAATTACACAACCTGTACACCTAAGCTGGTATTCCGAAGCGGTCACCCATTTAGGAACTGACCCGGTTCAACATTGCTTAACTTCAGCGATCGTACGGAAACAGGTGTTTCAACGTGTTTTTGCTGTAAGCCTTATTTTAAGAAAATATATTACTTTTCGTATACTTGAAAGGGTCAATGATATCAACAGATTTAAAACATACCTATCTGTTGTTCTGAAATAATCAATTAAAATAGACATAGTGATGGCGGTACGGACAATTCTATTTAAGCAGAACAGCAGCTGCGAAAAATAACCAGAATTGTTTTAAGGGTTCTAACCGTTTCTGTCGTATTTAAGTAATAGCAGCGCTTTTCATAGCAACACGCTTCTCATTTACTTGGTATGTATCTTGAAATCAGACTAATGTTTCTTGAAGCTATAATTAATTTGAAGTTTGATAGAACATTTATTTCTAAACTACCGTCTTGGCTAATAAATTGCCATGGACGCCAATCCACTTTATAAGCCAACCAAGTTACCCGAATAAAACATTTGCATCATTGCACATGCGCACAAAACGATGAAGTGCTTCTAGGAGTCTTCTTAATAGAAATGTCTGTCTCCTCGACTTCCGAGCAAACGGTGCGATTCACACTAAATGAACATCGATTGACTTCCGTCCCCACCGCATCAGATTCAGTGATTCAACTGGAATAGAAGCTTCCCAATTAATTAACTTTTGTCGTTTATCTTTAAAGGTGGAATAATCGAGGCATATCCCCGGGCAGAAAGTGTGACTGTCTTACAAGCCGATATGATGATTGAACCGGATGGACACACGCAACTTTTATGCATCGGAGATCAAATTTCTGAGAGCTCGGCATTTAAGCCCTGGGGCATTTCAGTTCCACAGTCTTCCATCGATTCCGACTATGTAAATTCAGTCTGCCAGAAGGTGGCTGCGTCCTGCCAGTCTCGAAATATTATTGGTCACTTGTCTTTGACCATGGTGACATTTATAAGCGAAGAAACGGTAAGGTCATTCGTATCTTTTCTCCAATCGATAGGAAATCACGTAATAATCATTAAGGAACGATAAACTGTCCGTTTTAAGTTGAATACAAAATTACATCTTTCGGTGTCTATGAAACTCGAATCATTACACAGGAAAGTAATTTACTGTGTTAATTCTTTCGTCTTGAGAGTCGTTTTGTGAATAACGTTAAAACTTCCAAGAGTTACATTCCGAACATTAACTTAAAATTAGTTGTAAGTTTTGCTGCAATTAAAGGAATATTAAAAAACAAAATTCATAATACACTTCTGTTGTTATTTACAAAGAATATGAAAAATAAATGTCATATGCAATTTTTCTTATTCAGCCAAAAAGACAATAACACAAATTAATGTATACAAAAAATCATAGCGAGCTGAAAATCATGGGAGACTTGTAAATTGACGAAAATATATATATATATATATATATATATATATATATATATATATATATTATCCCGTCACCGGTAGCACGACTTCGTGTTACATGTACAACGCAGTCTTCAGTTGCTGGGTAGAATCCTATACCCAACCTCTGAAGATTGGGTTGTGAATGTAACTATGAATCATGCGACCGGTGAGGTATATGTATATTTATTAATATATACTTAATAGCTCTGTTATATAACATAAAGCACAATGTTATTAAAACACCAGTACTCAATATGCGATATCTTATATATATATATATATATATATATATATATATATATATATATATATATAAGGAAAAAAAAAAGACAGTAGAAAGAAAAGAAAGAAATGGAAAGAGAGCAGAAATAAACAGGCAAAAATGATAAAAAAAGGAAGATATAGGATCAAATTGCTTTTATATATATATATATATATATATATATATATATATATATATATATATATATATCAAAGTAAAAGAAATTTGAACCACTAGTATTTCAACTGCAATCTAAAATCTAAGATAGCAAAGTCAATGGCTTTATGATAATAGCGTTTTATACACCAGAATATATATATTTATATTATATTATATTATTATTTTATTATTATATTTTCTTCAGTATATTGTTTTAAATAAATATAATCGAATTCTATATGCTCTATACCTTTGGTTGTAGCCCTCTTTTTTATTTAGATTAATGCCACCATTGAAATATTTCACCATATACAATTTCGATTGTTATGTACAACTGCCAATTGTAATAAGTGATTATGATAAACGTATTTCATAATGTCTTTTCTGTTTCTATTCTTGCACACCGAGAAAATATTACAAACCTTCCTATAAAATGTAGCAAAACGCATTTACACCATATACAATATTTCATCACAGATTACGATCTATGTTCAAAATCCTCGATCGTTTATGACACGTGTAACTACCAATGAATGTATTTATAATCCTAATTATCAGCCCATATACGAATTCTAACCAGCGTTTTTTCTTATAAGGTAAAATTCTTATATGTATTTCAGTTGGAGCAGATGTTGTGGTGCTTTGACATGTCTTTGGGTTATTCGGACAACTTAGCTATGTTTAAAATGTTTTGTTTTATGACAAACTGCACCTTTGACACTGGCCAACATCAACTGATCACTTGTCAAGCAGAAGCCCCTGTCCCAGACGGAAAAGAAATCGGAAAAGTTTACAACAATAAAGAAAAAACCATTTGTAAGTTAAACATATTATTAGCTTTCTATTTATTCGTTCGTTTTTCCCTTTTTTATTTCCACCCATTTTTTACTTGGTTTATTTCTATGCAAAAGGAACAACCACGTGTATATTTACATCGTCATTTCTCCCTTTACTTCTCTATGTTTCTTGAGAGTGAAGATTCACGTACGAATGAAATACCGTATATACTCGTGTATAAGCCGACTTCATGCATTGTTCAACTTCTGAATTTTTTGCTTGCACTTTAACCCTGCCAGAAAGATGTACCTGTGTATAATGTAAGCGGTCACTGAAACTGCACGATTTTTAACCTCTTCAAAAAAATTACCTGTTTATAGTGCGTCCCCCTATTTTTTGCGTAAAAAAACTAATAATAAAACCTCGCACTATATTCGAATATCTACGTTATGTGCGCCTCAAAATAGACGAATTCACTTTATAGCTTTTCATGTTTGTTACTTTTGTACGTCGAGAAATGAGAGCATTTTTTTGTTGCGGAGAAGGTTATGACTTCTTTAGTTGTCAACGGTTAAAAGTTGGCAATTTATTATTTAAAATTTTGTAAATGCCTCCAATTGCATGAAAATATTTTATTGTCGGAACATTTAATGTTAATGAACTTGTGAAAAAAAAAGAAGAAAAACAAGAGTTATTGACTTAGGACGTTGTTAGTTATTGAGGTATATTGGCTCCAAGAAACTAAAATCAAATAAGAATGTCATATTAAATAAATATTATGGAAATGTTTTTTGCAATCAATACCAAATGGATAAAATAGACTCCATAGATATTGGACGAACAACCAGAGCATACGCAATGACCAACCACATTAAAATAACTATTTATATATCTCATTCATTACCCGAAAAGAATTGTAAAGCTTGGAAGACCTACATCACTTTTGTGAGTTAGCAAATGACTAGGACATTTGGCGATGACTTATAAGAGTTATTTACAAAGTTACTGAAGATGAGAAATCACATTGCAGGTCTGAGGGGGATTATAATTTATGTTTCTTTCATAGACAAATATTTGCAATTTACAACATCGATTTGTGATAGTATAGATATAACAATAAACTGAAAATGAACTGTTTTGAGGCCGTCTTTCAATGATTATTTTACGTCGTACACGGATAAACACTGTGGTAAAATATAAGCTAAAAGCTTTTTCAATTTCTACACTGTGATCATCATAAAAAGAATTATGAATTAACTGTTTGATAAACGTTCCTCCCTACTATTAAATAATCACAGTGAAATCATTTTTATATCTCAGTATTTCCTCAGTTTGTTTTATAAGCGCACAAAAATCATTTTAGCTCAAACTATTCCTAGTTTTACTTTAATTCCGTGTCCCTTCAGATTTCTTTATATTATCTATAAACTGACTTCTTGGGAAAGGCTAGAGATTCCAGTTTCTTGTAAGAATTTTCTTAATAGATTCATGTTTTTCCCAAGGACGAAAATGAATGCAGCAGACTACGTCAGAAATTGAACTCGTCTCACCAGTTCCACTTTCCGTGCACATATGGATAAATTAAAAGAACACGTCCTTAATGTTATAGAAATGTAACTGGCACTATTCATAAATTAAGCAGAGACCAAATTCTATCTGAATTTTTGTTTAGTTTTCAAAATGTGTTTCCAGTTTCTGAAAAAAGAAAAATCTGACATGAGGTTATACTCCTTTTAGATATATTTTCAAGTAATAATTTTATTTTTTAAAGTTATTGACAGAGTGTTATTTTCCTATGGAAAATGGAGATAATAAGTATACCCGATCCAGTTGCAGAAATGAAAATCAATTGGTTACATTTCGACTTTTGAGATATCATCATTTTGTAACTGAAAATATCAATTAAATAAGAATTTTTAAAGGCGTTCATATTTATTATTTACCCTATTTATATTGTTCGGGCTGTTGTCCTCATCTTTATTGTCATATTCATGATGTTTCAGCCGTTGTACGCTCAGACCGTCTTCAGGTGATAAATGTTGGAATTTCGATCGAACCATTTATTTCGACCACAATCTACCCCCAGTGGACGAAGTAAAACGTTCGGTTCGAAATTCTAACGTGTATCACATGAAGGGCGGAGCATACAACGGGCGAAACGTCGTGAATATGATAATAAAGACAAGGAAAAAAATCCAAAAAATGTAAATAGTGTAAATAGTTACAATACCTCATCACAGAAATACAGACGGGCGTTCATGTTTGCTTTGTTTTAGTGACATTAATGCTGCACATTTTAATTTATATTAACATTCGGTTTAATCTCTTTTTCATTTTTTTTTCAAAAATTTCTAATATTATTTTGTGTTATATAGAGAAGAAAAATGATTTTTTTTTCTTGATACCAACCTGAATGCTTATTAACTCACAGGCAAGCCGCAAGTGTGTATTGGTATTTTAAAGGTATTCATTTTTTTCCTTTGGGCATCAATCGATCATTTTCTTTACATTTTGATTGTAGAGTACTTTTAATTCTGTTCTTTGTTATATTCATTTTAAAATGCAGATATCCTTTATATTATCCAGATATTTCCTGCTTCTAACGGATAGAAATATTTTGGCATCATTTTTGAAAAATTATATTTTTCCAAGGTCTATGAAGATCGTCATTAATGGTCAGTCTCCTGAAGCCTACGAGATCAATGGGGATGTCCCCACAAGACTATTCTCCGTCTTACCTTCTTTATGTTTTATAACAATGACCTACCCAGAAACAATGTGAAATCATTAGTAAATATCTATACAGATAATACCACGGTTTATGGGTGCATACCCCAAAAACTATATAACCAGACTCTGGAATCTTTTCTCTCCTTTGATATAGCACTGACAGTTGATCTTTACTTTGATTTAGCTCAATGGGAAAACAATGGATTCTAACATTCAATGCATACAATGCCAAGTGAATAATTTTCATACAGAATTTTTACCAGCCATAACAGATTGTTGTACTATGAGTAAGGATCCTTGTATTGAACGTCTATTGGACCTAAGTTGACCCCAGATCTCAAGGGAAACCCAGTTTCTACCTCGTTAAAGATGCTGAAAGATAGTCAATTCCGTGTGTCACACCAGAAAGTACCTGACTCCCCCTGCCATGATCTGTCTTTACAATAGCCAGATCAGAACAAAAATGAGGGATTGCTACAATATCTGAGTTGGGCCTGCTCAGTCCTTTCTTTACAGTTTTGACGGACGTCAAATGTGTTTACACGGCTTTGTGGGCAATGAAGTTTTCAACCCGGTAATTCCCTTCCAACAGCTTATTGCTACTCTATAGCCGTTTTCACTAGTTCTGACATCTACAGCTCGGGTACGCTATGTTAGGTACACAGGTTTTTGGTTGAATCATCTTCATTCACTTCGCATTACAT